TCAAGACCAAGACTGGTAAAAAAATTCGATTTTTTTAATATAAATTGAAGCAAAATAGTTACTAATACTTGACAATTTCAGTTATCATATGTAAAGAATTGGTGTAATTAATATACTTTTGCATTTAACTCTTCTAATTTTCCATTCAGACTAATGTAGGTTTCTCTATCTAAAAAATTACAGTAATATCTCTCTAGTAATAAGCTAATAGGTAACTTCAAGACTATTGCGAGACTCTTGCGCAAGACCAAGACCTAGACCAAGCCTGATTTGCAAGACCAAGACTCAAAGTTAACTAATTATTTATTTATATAAATAAATTTAGAAGAAATTGGTCTCGACGCCAGAATTTTGAATGTACCTTTATTTTCATTTATTCTGTATACTATAACTAAAATCTTAAGCTTTAAATATAATAATTTTGATTTAATTTCAACTTTGTTATCAAAAATTGGTATACTCTCTAAGAATAGAGTTATAATAGGGGGAGGTACAATAAGTTATTGTACTAATGAATAGCCAGCTCGTCGTAAAATAAAAAGAGTGAAGCGAGTTGGTTAGTTCCAGCTGCTGCCACCAGGTTGTGCGGGCGACACCCTTCAGAACCTGTTTCTTCTCTCTATCGTCTTTTCCTAGTAGTTACGTCTCTTATATACCTGTCATTTTTTTTTTTTCATAATTTTTTATTCCTTACAATTTAATCGTCCAGAATTTTTGGAATGTTTTAAACCATCTCACGTTTGTTTATCTCGATTCGAATTTTTTTAAAAAAAGCGTAGCTTTAAGCATTTTCGTCTAAAACAAAAATAACTAACTGTGATTGTTTATAACTATTTAAATTTATTGATTGCTAAAATGTTTAAAACGAAAATTAACATTTTTTTTTTTTGAAGGGTTGTTTTAAGCGAAAATATAACTTCAACAAGTGAAGAGTCTACATTATGGATAAACTTTTTCCGTTTTCTAGGATTAGAAATGATAAGTCGAAGAAGTTCAAAAACATTCTTGAGGAGGAGTCCATGTTCAATGGTCGAATGAGCATTTATGATTGTAGTTACAAATTTCTGGTGACAAATGAAAGAACTATTTGTTACAATAAGTGTGCGTTTTAATCCTAATTCTTCTAGGATGGAGTAACAGCTTTTACATATTATATTTTGAAAAGAAGATTTCCAATTTGGCTGTTCCGATAAACATATCAAGTGTATTAATTAATTCTATATATTAACGTATCTGTATATCGTATACAGATACGTTATCACATATGTACGTCTAAACATATTTGTAGGTACGAAATTAATACTTTACCTTTTGGCGTTTTAATTTATCACCAGATTGAAATTTGAAGGTACTAAAAGTTTGATTGGAGTTACTGTTGAATGAGGTTGTAATCAAGATGGATGATTCAGCGTGTTTCTTCTGTCCGCTGCCCAGGTACTCAACGTCTACTTTGTCTAATTGAGTTTTTTGTTGTCCATTTTAAAGAGTCACTACCGAAATCGATATACTACTTAGTGATTATGTGAGGTACACAGTCGTTATTTGATGTTTATTCATTATAATTTCAATTTTCTTCAACTTAAAGAAATAATCCAAAGACACGTTGCTAGTCTGGATTACTGTCATTCCTTAGATGATGATGTTGATGTCAGTGTACATATTTCTCTGTTCAATGGATTTTAATCGATAAGGTTCTATTTTACTCTGAAAGACTTACATCTCTGTCGTCATTTCCTTGTTTTTTAGCGCCTGTTTATCGACAAGGCTTCTAGTTGTACAAAGAAACTTGATAACAACTTTAAAAAAAAAAGGGAAAAAATAAAAAGCCTGTGGTGTAACAGAGAAATCCCAGTCCCTTGGCAGAATTGCAGGTGTGATCATTGAAGAAGGAATGGCACGCGGCCTTGTGTTCCTAGAACGCAACTAATTTATGAAATGAACTATCAGCGTTTTTGAGTTCACCTTCAAGCGGTTACCTTATCGGTCCCATTGCCACATTTTTAAAATTCTGTAATTCTATCAGATACTATTCGTCTTTGCCAATAATTCAACCTTGTGCTGCGGCAGAGTGCCTTGGTTTATAAATTATCAAATGATTTTGGCGATTTCGATCTGTTTTGACCAATAAAAATCTGGAATCCAAATATAATCTGCTAACCTCATACATGTTCTATTGGAGGGTACCATTAAATGATACAATCCACAATATTGAAAAGAAATTTCTTTTATAAATCTTCTTCAGTTGCTATTGGAACTAACATGAAGAAAACTGCTTGTTATTTTATGATCTTGTATATGTTTACAGGTGTACGTAAGTTAATGTATGCGTACAGGTGTTGAGAATTGCTTAAATCGGTGGTTGTGTTGACCATTATCAAATATAGTAACGCAACACAACCAATTGATTACCTTTTTAGCATACTCAGCATCATGTTTTCAATTACTCTGTATTTGCTCGGTATTATTTGAAATTAAAATTCATGTATTTCTTAAAACTGAATGAATTTTTTCGTTATTTTGATTGCTTCACCCCACACTCTTTTATTATGAGTTGTTCCGAATTTGCAAACAATGACGCGTTCGAATCTATGCCGGAGACCACCTTGAAGAGTATTCCGGAAAGGTTTGTCTGATCCCAAATTACAGAAAATGGTTTATACTGAAGTCATTTTTTTGTCTTTAACTCGTAATTTTGAGACTGTTCTTGTTTAAAGGACAGAGGTAATTAAAATTGATCGTTCACTTTTTGGCATGAGCATTGAAACCTATCATTAGTAGAAAGTAACTTTTGTTTTCCAATTTGGAAGCATTTTTCCTCCGGAAGAATTGGGAGATAAATGATATCTTCTTTCAAATTGCTTTTTCTGTTGGAATTGGTTTTGCTTTGATTGCATATAACCGAAGGGTGGTATTTGGTGATGCTTTTGAAATAATTCAGGATAGGACATAATGGATTTGAGTAATTATAAAAGACTGACGAAGAAATGTCTTAAATGTGTGGATTCAAATTGTTATTGCGTTGGTTGTGGAATCGTTTATGTAATGATCTGTTAGTTTTTTTGGTATATGTGAAGTTTTCAAGTATTTTAGAAAGCTCCTATCACGGCAGTAGCGGAGAGAGTAAAATTATTGTGTATCTAGTTTTTTACGAAGATTATTTTTCTTTCTTATACATTCATGACACGCACATCGTAAGTCTATAACATAAGCTGGTTGAGCCTTTAATAGTCAGAAAATGTCTTTAGCATTCTTTATGAGAGGTAGCAGAATTTAAGGTGTAAAAAAAAAGAACAATTTTATTAATAGAAAATATAATTTTTTTTCATAATGATTTTTTTTTAATAATTCAATTTTTAAAAATAGTTGTCAAATCGTCATCGAAAATGCTTATATATTATATATTATATTATATTATATTAAAGTATAACATAAATATGCTTAATATATACTTGGTTAGCAAACAATAAAACCATAGACGTTGTAAACGGAAAATAAAGTTTATATAAACATGTAAAAATAATAGGCCAAAACTTTATATGTTCTAGTATCATTTATGCAATATAACACAGCTGATCACAAACAGCTAGAGTCTTAAAAAAAAAAAAGACATGACATTCATTTGCATGTATTGGTGTTAAATTTGTAACAAACAAGTTTGGAGCATTGGATTTTTATAATGTTTGTAAGCGAAAAGAGAAAAGAGACACTGAAAAGTTGGGGTGTGAATGTCTTCAAAATTGGTGGCTAGTTGTGGGAAGGAACAAGTGTATTTTGATATATAATAATGGACCGAGTGTAGAGTCCTGTGAAATACGAAACGATTTGAGAAACATGAATAGTGTATATAATTATCATATAAATAATTGAATCGTGATAGTTGGGATTTCAACTACTCATCGCTTTGAGTTTATTTGGACACTTAAGGCTTAATTTATGTGATAGATATAGAAAATTACTAGTGAGAAGAGACCGCTTCTGATTCAATTTTCTATCGGTCATAGCTGATCTAGCGAAGACCTTGAGGCAAGAACAAACGAATACTTTTGCTAAAAAGACGCGATTCTCCACGGTGGTCAGATTGGGATACTTTCACCCCAAGATGACCTTGCCCCCGACGTGCTGCCGATAATAAGTCCCCCGGAGGTAGTAGAGGCGCGATCCCCTCAATAGAGAATCTTCTTACAGGGCTGACCCGAGGCCGCTTTGTGTGGCACGAGCCTAGCGACAATGCTCTGATTATCCACACCCATGCCTTCCCTACAAACTGTTTGAATAGTTCCTTCAAAACATCAGCCTCTTCTTCAGCTTCTTCTTTTTTTTCTTTTTCTTTTCCTTCTCCCCTCCTCTCTTCTTTACCCCGGTGTCCTCCCGTCGCCCTCTGTTCCTAGCCGCCCGAGATGGAATCCGAGCCTCCACCAGGCCTGCATTGTTGGCGTTAGCTTTCACAAAGCACTCTGTACACGCATTAAACTGTTAAATTAGGAATATACCCAATATAGCTGTAATAGCTGACACGTTCCAAACAATTTTTTCATCTTTGCTGATGCAGCGTTACCATTCTTGAAACTTGAAAAAAGGTGCATACAAATCTGCATTGAATAATAATCTAGGTTTTTAATTATTGAGAGCTTTTGCTGTGTGAGCCAAATATATTGGTTTTTATACATCATAAAACCTTGGTCACCACAACGGTATTGATCAAACTACTGTTATACATCTGTGTTATACATCTGGTAAATTAACCATTTGGATAATATACCATAAAAAAAATATAATTGTCATTTCTGTTTCTATTTGTTATTACAAACCAAGGTACGAAGCTGCATATGTAGCTAATGCACTAAATTATTTTTAAACTGTTATGATAGAAATGAAGTTCTAAATATTCCTTATTAGATTTGTAGATTTATTTTAAATAATGTTTTTATTCTTATGGTAGATTTATAATCATTGAATATTGTTGATCAGCTTTTAATAGTTCCGTTTTTTCTTTGTTCCAGGTGTTGAGACTACTGTACTCCATTCAAAAGAATCTCTTATCTTGGATTTGATTCATTTTTTACTGAGATGGACCTTCGCTTCACCAATCTGTGATTGGATATGATACATTTTTTAATAAGTTTAATAATAAGTAGAAGACTGCGGCAATCAGCCGCATTTAACTGATGACGATGGCAGACGCTCAGGTGGAGTCATCATCAGCCGACCCTCTTCGGCGTTATTCGGAGATGAGAAATAATAATAATCCCCTAGTCGCTAACCATAACCATCACCATGGCCGTGGTAAGCAGCGGAAGAGGAAGAGGCTCAGCCAGGTTGTGGATAAGCTAGTTGTACAAGCGGGAACTCCGCTAAACAACAACAATTTCTCCATAAATAATAATCTGGAAGAAAAAAAACCGTCATTCACAAAGTGTATTAAATTGAAGGATGAACCTTATTCAGAAGACGATGAAGTGTTTAGTTCTTCCTCCCCTCACAGTTCCAATACTGATTCTCCAAAGATAAGCATTAGTCCGCTCAGGTTGAATCAAGGGTCTTCTGTAGAGGAAGATGAAAGGCATCGTGGATGTGCATGCCCCCAGTGCGTTTCTGCTGCTTACGCTACGGTTTCGCCAACAACTCCCCCAGTTGCTGCTCCTGTATACAGTTTCGAGCAATATCTTCATTCTAAATATCTTCCTGACATATTTAGAAGAAGGTGTCATTCGGATTCGGATTTGCCGTTGTGGTTCGAGGCTAGGACGGAGAGGTCGGAATATAGCTCACCTCAAGATTCACCTTTGGATCTCTCTACAAAAAGCTCAAAGAGTTCAGACACCTCACCAAGTTCTGGAGATTCCTTTATCTTACCAACGCTGTACAGTAATGTACCTGTAGTAAAAGGGGATGTCGCATCACCGACAACCAAGGAATCAGTTGCTGTAAGGTACAACCTGGAGGTTTCACCTGTTGTGGAAGAGATGCCTCCTGGATCTGATGTAGCATATGTCTGTCCTGTGTGTGGACAAATGTTTAGTCTTCATGATCGCCTTGCTAAGCACATGGCTTCGAGGCATAAAAGTCGGACGACTCCCGACGCATCAAGTAAAGCATACCTGTGTGAGGTTTGCAAGCGCTCTTTTGCGCGTTCCGACATGCTTACAAGGCATATGAGACTCCACACAGGTGTCAAGCCCTACACTTGCCGTGTATGCGGACAAGTGTTTTCGCGTTCAGACCACCTCTCGACGCATCAGCGTACACACACAGGAGAAAAACCGTATAAGTGCCCGCAGTGTCCGTACGCTGCTTGTAGGAGGGACATGATTACTCGGCATATGAGGACGCACTCGAGGTACGAGTCTGGGCAGTGCGATGAATTATCTCCGCAATCACTATCGCCTCACGAAGATATTGAGACCAAAGAACGTAATATTGTGCCAGCTGTGCATTTGTTGATACCTGAAGTTCATAGCAGGCAATCTATCAATCATTCAGATTCTTAAATGATTGTTATTGCTCTCCTGTAGTTTAAACGACTTTTGCTCAATCTTGCCTAAATCTCGCCTACAAAAATGTGATTTTCATATATTTTTCTGTAATGAATAGAGCATATTTCTACTTTGTTTATTGATCAACATTATTGAATAGTATTTTTTTTAAATTATGCATGTTAAAAGTTTTGTACTGTTTCTGAATACTTATACCACTGTTTTCTGTTCCTTTTATATCTATATATGTAGATTCAACCTGTTGAAGTTTCATATTATTGTTGTTAAATTTGTTAAACAGTTTCTTTTTGTACCTTGTTTCCTTATATAATTATGGTTTAAAAATGATTGTAACATGCTCACTATTAGTTTAGAAAAGTAGAGAAGTACGAGAAAAAATAAGTGAAACAATGGATCATTGTACATACTTGAATATTTAAGATGGGCATTACGTATCGTTAAAAGAGTATATTATTTATCGCCAGATATTGACATATCACACAGAGTTGTATGACAATATGTACATGAATTTGCGTAAATTCCTTTTTATGAATTTTTTAAATTTTTACCATATTAAAAAATAAATTTGTAAATATTCTACAATATTGTGCCACATTCGTAGTGTATAGATAGTAAATTATTTTTTTGATATATGTAAATTTATATTGTCAAAGAAGTTTTATTTGTTTGTATAAAATGACCTTTTGTATTATATAAATTATTTTTAATATGTATATATGGAAAATAAAAAATTACAAATTTCAAGTTGTGAAAGTTTGTTGTAACCTAATACTGGCCGAAGCCTAGGAACACTTGTTTTGTTATTATATCATCACATAATTTTTTTATTCTTACTGAGTATTCTTTATTTCTGCCATTTGTTATGATTATAACTGAATTAAGTAATAAAATTTATAATCTATTCTGGAAAACTCAAAAATTTAAAAACTAATGTAAACAACTGCTCCTTGGTTTCAGCTATCTTTAAATTATTTTGTTATTTAATAATAGTGATTTAGTTTCATATCATTTTCTAAAAGGCTAAAATAATAAATCAGTGTTTGCTCAAAAAAAAAAAATTCCAAATCATTAATTAAATAAAAAAATGTATTTTGTTGTAATTTTGACAACATTACATATTTTCCGCCATTTTTTATTTAAAAAGCAATAAACATGCCTAATTCATTTTTACTAATTTTATTTATATCTGTTTAATTTTCATATCCTCTTTCCCTCTTCCTTCCTTAGTTATTTAATGTTTATTTAGTTAAATATAACATAAAACAGATGAAAATAATGAGTTATGTTCATGATCAAAAATATAAGATTTATAGAATATATAAATCTGTGCTCTGGAGGTAAGGGACAAACAACCATGTCTGTTTTTTTTTATTTATTAAATAATTTAGTAACTAAGAAACAAATTTTAGTAGCTCAAAATTGAGGAAAATTGGTTCCCCGGACAAATACAAAAATATGACATGATATCCTTTAACTTTGGGATACAGTTATTGAAAAACAATTTTTTTTCTTGGTGTATCCACTACAAAAATTACATATATTAAAAAAAATTATGGGTACCAGTAAAACATTAATAAAGAAAATAATTTACTAACACTCTTTAATTATAAAATAAATTATTGTTGGGATTTTACCTGTTATCTTAATTAATCAAAACAACTTCTTATATCGATATATACCGAATATAAAAAATAAATACCAATAGACTGATCAGAATATAAACCTTCTTTTTTTAAAACCTATTTCAATTATTATTATGTACTTCTACTTGGTAAAATGATTGGATGATATTACAAAAGTTATATATATATAAAATAAATAAAATAAATGATCCATACTCTCCATAAATTTTCACAGTAATTATTTTTTCTATTTTTTTATTATTATTATTGGATATAATCAACAAACAGCTAGCAGCTCTGTGTATGATTTACATACAATATATATATATTAAAAACAATAAATTCTGTGTGCTACGGTGATTGTGTATTTTTCTACCACCAACAAGAAATGAAGGTTTTCCCATCCCTCTAGTGGTTTTTGTTCTTTTCATAAAACGATATATATAAAAAGATCGGAATGATAGTATGAATAAGTAAATTTTTATTTTATGTTTAAAAAAGGAATTTGATTTGATGATAAGTATTTAGTAATGAATCATATCATCAAAGGACATTTTTCTGCTGAAAAAAACGAAATGGGTTTTACACTGCTATCTCTATAACCCCCAGATGTAAAACAAAACATTTAAAAATTATCTATTAAGTTTAAAAAAAAACAGATAGGAGATCCCCCAGTTAAATATAATAAACATTTGGTTACATAAACATAATTTTAATTATACATATTATTTATTTTTTTATGATTATATTTCAAATATTATTTGGCAGTTATACTGGATTCCGTCGGAAACCGATGTTCATACCTAATTCGTTTTAGTTTATTACATCTATAACATAATTAGAACTATAGCATCGATGGATGTCATTGCTACAGGACACCCTTCAATGTGCAGTCTGCAGCGTTGAAATTTAGAAATCAGAGATCTTATTGTAAATAAATTAACGAAACTAGCAGTATCAGGAGGCCTCCAACAACTACAGAATTTACTTTCATTACTATTGTTATCTATATAAATAAAATAAAGATTTTGTCTCTACATTGAATAGAATCAACCCGTTTTATGATATCTTTCCGTTTCATACATTGCAGACACCAAATTCAGTTTTAAAATTTTTTTTGTCTCTGTATGTCCGCTTTGCAACGAAATTTTGTCAGGGGTAAGCTCAGCAATGGCTTATTGTAGACTTTTGAAATGTTTACAACATATTAAAGTTTGCTTGACTTAAAACATAGGATTTAAATGAAAAAAAAAAATATTGAGTAGAACCAAAGTTATTAATTCTTGAGTAATTTGTCTAGAGATCTCGGTTAATGTTGATAATAAATGTTAATAATAAACATATGTTTATAGGTTAAAGAACATCTATATAAATAAAAAAAAAATATTTTGTCCGTACATTGAATAGAACCAACCCGTTTCAAGATATCTTTCCGTTTCATACATTACATACACCAAATCCACTTTTAAAAAAATTTTTGTCTGTCAGGATGTCCTCATTGTCAAACGATAATTTGTCAGATGTAATTTCGGCAATGGCTAATGGTAGACCTTTGACATTACCTTTAGGTTTGCTTTAAATGAAAACAAAATATTGAGTAGAACCAAAGTTATGAATTTTTGAGTAATTTGTCTAGAGATCCCAGTTAGGCACTTACTTCGATTCTTATCACAACCTATTCTACCGCGAGCCACATTTAAAAGTTTACCACTCTACTGATGGGAAAAATTATCACAACACAACGGGAAAAATCCGGAATACCGAACATCTGTAACGCGTTGTCACATAAAAGGGGTAAAACAAAGTCATTTTTCAACTTTGCCCGATCTTCCCGTTCAAGGCGTCATTCAGTTTAACTTCCCGAGCCTAACAAATATTGTCGTATACATTTTTACGATTAACCAAACGGTTTTGCCAGAAATCAGGAAAAAACAATCCAAAAGTTTCACCCCGCAATATTAAGAACAAGATCTAATCTTACACGGATGTAGATGACTCTATGTCCAATGTTATTTTGCCAGCGATAAACTCAGCAGAGTTTAAAGAAGTTTAGAGACTACAAATCTTTTTGATTAATCAATCGACTCCACAATCTCCTCGCTTCATCATAAATGAAAATTTAACACTTAACAAATTTTAATGGATCGGGGGTGGACGGTTTGTTTAGTTGTGTGGCATCTAATCAAATATCCGAATAACAAAGTTTATATTATGACTATTGCGAAACCTTGACTTCCCTAAGCCCCTCCATAAAAAAATTCAAAACAAACCTCCTCCCCCTTCATGACCCATTTTTATGAAATTGAATTTGGACCTTCCTCCCCCCATAGTATAAAATCCATCTCAAAAACATATTCTCATATTTTAACTATACCCGTCAACGATGGGTACATCAGCTAGTTAAAAATAAAATTGAAGTTAACTGAGTAGTATCAGTGTTCTCGTTTATGTCATATTTTATAATTTTAGATTAGACTAATTGTGATTCATCCTCGTGTGACACTTTCACAACCTCGATGTATTGTTCCACAAATTCATTATTTAAATGTGAATGACCCCGGCGGTTCAAGAACTCTAAATAAATAAATTAATGCGGATAACGGGTCACGTTGTTCCAATTTTTTTCTATACTTACATGTTTTATGGAAAAAGTTTGGAAAAACCGTACAAAATGGAAAAATATTAAAAGTTGAAATTAGTTTGTGGAAATATTTAAATTTTTGTTAATATTTGTTACATTGCAATATATCTCTTACTTGGAATATTTTGGCTCACAGGAAAATAATTATATATCAATGATTGGCGTTTATTGAAGTGAAAACTTTTTAGGCACGCTTTGCACTTTTTTTGTGTTTAGTGAATGAGGCTGAGCAGCCGCGCTCGGATATACGAGTATAACGCTCATTCGGAAATAGTTGTCTAGAGACCACTAATAGAAGTGTTTTTGCGTTTGGATTAAAATATCTCAAAGAATAAAATTTGGACCTCCATGCTGTAAGCGATAGAGATGGGGAAGTGAATATCGAGAATCGAATCAAAGAGTCAAATTCCTCTGAAGGAATCGATATCTCAAGCAATTCACACGAAAGAATCACAATTCACTAGTAATCGGTCGATTCAATAGCCATTATTAAAAGTAAAAGTACGAAAAAGAAAAAAAACAACTCTGTACATATATAAATAAACCAAACAGAGAGAAGAAAAATATAAATAAACAAGATTGAAATGTTAAATTAAATACTTACATAATAATAGGAAACTAAAAGTACAAAAGAGAAAAAAATAAACAAAATAGTGATATAAATTTTTTATTTTTTTTATTTCTTAATGACATTTACAACTGTATTACATAAATACATCTAGTAAATTTGGACATAATTGATATAATGACATGAATACACTTGCTGAGTAACTACCCAATGGTAGCACATTGGTTGGTAACAGGTATGTTAAGACAAATAAAATAGTTGATTGCCTTTGTCTGCCTTTTAAGACATTATTTTTAAATTTATTCTATTTAAATAAAACAGTTCGACATTTTGAAAAATCTGACTGATATATATAACCTATAATTACTGTTACTTAGCAATGATTCGAGTCCGAAAACAACTCTCTTTATCTTAAGAAATTATCTCAAATTGGCAGTGGCAAAAATTAAAACGAAATAGCAAGAATGAAATTGGTCTTTGTACATAGTTTTTGGTTCAATACAATAAAATTTGAGTGCTTGTGGTGATGAAACTTCGCTAAATACTTCTTTTTTGAATATTGGTCGACCTTTTAAACGATTCGACGACTACTATACTCGAGGTAAAAATAACAAAGTTCAAGATGTAATTAATACGAGAGGCAC